CATAACTCAAACTGCATTCACATAATTGCACCCACATAACTCAAACTGCATTCATGTAATTGCACCCACATAACTCAAACTGCATTCACATAATTGCACCCACGTAACTCGAACTGCATTCACGTAATTACACCCACGTAACTCATACTGCATTAACCTAATTGCACCCACATTACTCAAACTGTGTTCACCTAATTGCACCCATGTAACTCAAACTGCCTTCACCTAATTGCACCCACAAAACTCAAACTGCATTCACCTAATTGCACCCACGTAACTCAAACTACATTCACCTAATTGCATCCACATAACTCAAACTGCATTCACCTAATTGCAGCCACATAACTCAACCTGCATTCACCTAATTGCAGACACGTAACTCAAACTGTATTCATTTGATATCTCTATATCTCACCTGGTCTGCTTTTTCCTGGATTTCTCTTCGCTTTTGTCTGTCTTCTTCCAATTGCTGTTCATGTTCCTTTAGTGCATTCAAACGCTGCTGCAGCTCCTGTTGCTCTGTTCTGTTCTCTTGTAATTTTTTGCACAAACTTTTGTCCTCATCTGTATACTTTTTGAAGGCCACCTCAACTGATTGACCTAGGGTTTCCAGGTTTTTGGCTGCAATCGTAAAAGAAAACATTTCATCCTTCCAATTATACCTAATTAATTAGATGGGATCATGCCACTGACTACTTTAAAGGCCACATTTAATAGTGACTGGCTTTGCAGTTGTGAGTCGATTGGAACAATGTTAAATTTATATCTTTTCACATTTTATCCATGAAATAAGCTGTTTACAGCCAACGTAACAGTGCTGACATACTTGTTTTCTGGAGTAAGATTCTGATAGCTTAATTGTGTGGGAAAACAGCTGCTGTGCAATTCTAAGTTCAAACTGAAGAAGCAATCAAAAGTTCATCAAATGAACTTTTGATTCGGAATGTATTATTGGGTGCCAAGCACAATTTTTGTGCTTGGCACCCAATAAACCATTCCCAGGTATATGTGGCTGGAACTTCACAAGATAAATAATCCATCTACTGGCGAAGAAGATATGCATATTTTTACAGTATGTTATGTGGCTGAAAAGCCTTGTAAATGGAGCTTCAATAAAATGTATGTATGTATATGTATGTAATATTAGCCTGATTTCATGGCAGAACAGAAAATGACTGAGGGCCCATATTTCCCAGAACAGCTCAAGCAAGCTACAATGTGCGACAAAAGTGTTGAGACACTTGGCAGTAAAATTCGATTTTCGAGCGTCTTGGACACATTCCCCCCCCTGAACAATGTTGATTTTTCGATTTCTTAGACTACACAGACCACAGCCCCTACACAACATTGAGTTGGGGGGTTGAGGTGTAAGAGAATTAATGCTAGATGCAAATAAAATAGAATAAGTGCTGAAAAGCTTCATTTTCTAAAACTGTCTCAACTACTTTTGTCGCCCATTGTCTGGAGTCTATTTATGTAAATTGTGGCGATTGCCGTTATATTTCCAAGCTCTAGCAAGATTATTTTTACAGATGCCACTAAAATATATGCGTGGTTCAGAGCGATTTGTGACTACAGAAAAAGTGCCTTTTTTTTTCTCACCAAAATTACGACACAAAGACGAAACCTGGTCTATCCCATTAAAAAAATTGATCCATATTTAGCCCTCAAGGTGGTGTTTGTAGCTTTTTTTTTCACTTTTAAAGCGTTCAAAGAGTGTCTACCTCACTTTCATTCAATGCAATTCTCACTATGACACAATGGCTACAAGTTTTTCCCTTTTCAGTTGTCATATTTTGTACCGTTCTTTGACCAAAATCTCTCTATGTCTGACCTCAATACAATGGTTTACCATTGCAGATGACCTCATAATGATGTCACAGTAACATGTGCATTTCATTTTGATAACTGCATTACACTGAGCACATAAAATTTGATATCAACCGATGGGTGCTTTTCAACTTTTACTGGGCGAATGTCCCACTGGGCGATTTCCCACTGGTAAACGATTTACATAGAAAAGTTAATTAATTTACTCTCTTCTTTAAAGCTTCACCGCGATAAAACATTGAGAACTCATGACATGAAGTTCAAAAGCATGATAAAACAAGGGATCTTATGTAATTTTGTCTGCTGAACAGAATGCTGTTAACAGGGAATACTTAAAACATGTAAGTGTAATAAAAATGAATTGTCATTACACATGGTTAACTGTCAGTAAACCAACAAAAACATGCCTTCTGAACCCAAAAGTTCCTTTTATAACATAGTGTCTCATTTTAATTCCTATTGTACAAAGTTTTTGCTTCCTTTTTCAGTTCAGCTTGGAATAATGATTATTTAAAGCAGATAAATGCAGTTTTTTTTACTGGTAACCACAAGTAACTACAAGTAACCACAGGTAACCAAATGATAGTTAAAAGGATACTCTTAATAATGATTAGTCAATTCGTGGTTACCCGTGGTTGACTGCGGTTACCCGTTGATTTTTTTGTCCATGAGAACTTGTTTGAATTACTCCAAGATAGCCTGCTTTGGGGGTACCACTGGTAGTTTGTAATTCAACAATTACTTTGTCATTTCATTCCTTTTTCAGAGAGAAATAAGGAGGAGATGACCAACATCCTGAATTGGGGATGTCACGCATGTATGTCAGATGGCACTCTTAGGTAAAAAACATGGCTCATGACCATTTCCATGGAAACAGACCATACGGCAAAATCCTGACCAAGAAAGAACCAGTCAGAACACTCAGAATTACCTCAACACTGCTTGCCATATAATAAAAGTAAAATAATAATACACAATTCCTTGTACGGATGGATAGCTCATTGACACATATTTTCTTGTTACTATTCAGCTTTAGGGAGTGTTAGTGTACAAGGGAGTAATGTGCAGGCTGGCTCTGGTGGTGTGAGCCAGCTTTGCTCATACACTGATTTACCTTACTTTATTAAAGTTTGACAGAAACTGAATGAATGTCTACATACCTATTATATCTATGTCACCTTCACAGTTGTCACTCATCAATTTCAACTCTTCAATTTCTCGGTTAATTTCTTGATCAAGTTCTTCTTTTTTGTTAACAAACTTTTGAAGGGTTTGAGCTTCTTCTGTCTTCTTCTGTCTCTCCAATACTCTTTTCACATCTTGCTTTCCCTTTGTTATTGCTAAGTCTGCAATAAACATAGCTGACACAATCACACACAGACCTTGATAAATTTCACCAAACTGTTGACACAAATTTAGCATTTTTTAAGTTCTCTTCAATAAGACAGTGAAAAATTGCATCTAAAAGGGACTTCTTTAAAGAGAAAAATACTAATAATATTGTTTGAGATGACTTCATTAAATTGCCTTGAACTTCAAAGTCAGAAATATCAAAGTTAAAATTACGTTTTTTGGAAAAATGGCAAATTCCCCAGAGTGGAGGCAACAGTAGTCAATACCCAGGGTGAAGAAGAAGGGGCAAATGTTCCACTCCCAAATCCAGAAAACAACATTACTCAAGATTTATTACATCTATCACTCACCCAATTCTTTTGTATACTTATTAATGTTTACATGTGCATCTATCCTTCACTGATCATGTGCTTTAATAATACTTTGTGATAACATGCCAAATGCGTAAAATTCAATGAATTAGAAAAGTAATTGTGCGTAATAATATATACTTCTACTTGGCAACAATTGGCTTATTAACTGAGTGGAGACACTATTTTTGATTATATATTGTGATAACTGTGTACAATAATACTCTGCTTTGGCAGATTTTAAAGAATTTTCAAACAGAATAAAGGTTAATAATAGATTTTGTTTTTGAGTTGTTAATATGTAGTTCATGTGAACAGAAGTCAATCTTAAATGTAATCGCATGTCTCTTGTTCTAGATCATGAGTTTTATAAAGTAGCAATGGATTTCCCAGGCGTTAGGCAAGTGGAACCTCAGATACTTTGACAATTGTTATGACAAATTCATGCTCTGAATAACAAGATCGATGCATGAAAACTGACGTCAATTTGTCTAACTCTGAAATCACTTATGGCTATCCAAAAGCTACCCTGTGAGCAGTTGGTTTCTCCTACGCCAAACAAGAAAGAAACCACTGTGAGTAACTGCCTGCCTTTCCATTGAGCATGTGCGAGTTCGTCACGCCCCATGTGATGCATTTGATGTCAGTTCCATTTGTTCCCTGGAGGTGCTTGCACTGTACAATGCCAGTCAAAAGAATGCAAAATTTATCGCCAAAAATGCCGACAAAAGATGCTCCAGACCTTCATTGAAGTATTCTCTAGGTTGCGGTCTAACTCTAAAACCTAAATTTAAGGCTTTCTTGCCCTCTCTCGTGTGGGATTGTTGAACTCATTGAACACAATAATAGCGGAGCTCCGAAGGGCCACCAAGCAGAGCCCCATACTCATATAGGAAAGAAAAGGAAACCCATGAGTTGATTTTCTCATGGTTATCATGGCTAGCGGTATTGCTCGTGGGCGTGTACGCACGACGACGACAACGACGACGGAGTTGCCCAACATGGCGGCCATACTCCAAATAATAGGTTGACAGAGACATACAGCCTTGGTTTACCGTGTACTTCCTTGATATTGGACATCCATGTTATGATCAATTGACACCTGTCAAAACAAGGTATCCGCTGACCAGTACCACGTGACCATATCGCAGGCTCAAGTTTACAGCTCCTCGAGATCACATGTTTTTTTGAAGTTGACCGCTGACCAAGTGCTGGTTATCGATTGGATCGCGGGCTCATATTGGGTGAGTTTGTTGGAAACAGGGCAGGATTGTTCGGAAGCTGGTTTACGCTAACCCAGGATTAAAGTTAACCAAATTATAACTTTTTCTTCTATACAAATGTTTGTTTTTTGCTGTTTTGTTTTGTGTATACGGTGATTATTAAAACTCAAAACAGAAGGCCAAACAATATACAGAAACCTCACCGCAAAGTTACAAAACTCAAATCAAGATTCTACCTTTTTCTGGGTTAGCTTAATTGGGCTATGAACAACCCGGCCAGGAGCTACGCTTTTAGGTTGGCCTAAATCTATATATTATGATTTTAACTGGGATAATGTGATTGAAGGCACCGCGGTTTCATAAAAGCTGTTGCAAGTGACTGGACATCATCAAAAGTGAAAACAAAAGCCCACTCCAACTTCAAGCAATGTACAGCACAGTCTTGAAGAACTACGAAATGTGTTTGAACATCGTATAAACCCAGATTGTGATCGTTTGCAGTGGAGTTGGACTTTGATCACTACATGGTGGGCTTGGGTAAATGCAGCAGTTGCTGGTGAGCACATGTGTGCGAGCCTAAACCAGCTTTTAAACTAGTTTTACCAGTTCAAAGTTAATTTATTCATCCATGGCGCTGGACAGCGGCTAACTCAAAGGAACGCACAGTTGCTTGCAGTGGTTTCTCTCTTGTATGGTGTAGGAGAAGCCAACTGCTTGAAGGGTATCTAAAAGCATACAAAACAATGATATGAGTAAAAGTATTTAATTACCAAGCAGTTGAACTCCTTCTTGTCTTTTGTCATCAGCACCATCCATCTCTGTCTTCTTCAGCAACTCGTACCTCTCCCGTTCACATCTCTTGAAGTCTGCTAGTGCTGTCACAGCTTCATCTGAAAGCTCAAATTTATCTGCCACACCATGACAGGCCTCCAAAAGTACAAGAAAACAGGATCCCAGCAACTCTTTTACAGCATTAAGAGACGTTGAATTTTTTGCAGCATAGTCAATGGCAGTCAAAAGTTGCTCTGTTAATTTTTCAAAAAAACAGACATTAATGCATTTAGTTATGCTACCTGCTCCTCAGTGATAGTTATAACACCAACGTAAATCAGCAGCCAAACACCTATCCCATGCTTTCCAGACAGTTATTATGCAATTTGCTCCTGAACTCTTTAATTGTGTGGAATTCTTTGCCCGCCTTCATTACCACTTCAAAGGTTATCTTGTTTGAGAAAAACTCATGCAGATGAGGCACCACTGGCAAATATCAAAATGGAATGCCAAAGGTGGCTAGAAAAGCCTTGATTATTGGGGAGGTCTGGAACCCAGTATATTGCCATGGTAACAAAACTGTTAAGCTCATATTGTGGGACACATCTGGTAGAATTTCACTGCAAAGAATAAAACATTTCTGATGCAAATTGGCTAAGATATCTGTCTTCATCATATCTGATCAAAATTTGGTTGAGCTAATATGATGACATAATCACTTGGCTAATTTGCAAGTTTTAAAAACTTGACTATCTCTGGAACGAAATGAGATATATTTTGAAAAAAAGTAAACAACATTTTTCTTCTCACACAGACTACTTGTTTATGTTTTAAAAATGGCTTAGATAGGAAAGATGCAAATTTCATCATAAGGAAGACAAAAAGTAGCAAAAAATGTATGGCAAGTGCTGATCTGGACTTGAATATTACTAAAAAGTAGAGATCAAAATTCACTTTACCAAGAAAAGAAACAGTAAAACAGTAGCCTAATCTGACAACAAGAAATTTTAACTTGGAAATTCACTCCCTGAGCAATGAATGCTAAAAAATTAAAACCTACAGGTTTCCCAAGTATTGGTAAATTAAATATCACATCACACACACCTAATAGTTTCAAAGTAAATAACAAATAAACTTCATTGTTCTGCAGATTGGGTGATCAGGAGAATTTTAAATTCTTGTCTACACTGAATTTAACTCTTATTAATTAAGCAAATGTTGCAAAAATGGGCAGAACAAAATCTCTACCCATTGAAAAGGTAGTGACATCACCTGATAGAACTAGCAACTTGTTTTAGTTATGCCTCTTGGAAGTAGTTAGCCAGCTGACCAGCTGAGAAAGCTGAAATTCTGGCTAAATGAAAACTTCTACTACTGTTTAGTACTTACTTGGTTGTAAATTTCAACCAAATTTTCACTGTTTCATCCTTCTACATAACTTCCCTGGCTTATGAAAATTCTAAGTAACTAAAGCTACATAACTCCTAAAATTATTAGATTGTGTAAGTTTAATGTTACCATAAAAGTGTGCATCATGTGACAAATTTAAAATACTTTTCACGGAACATCACTTTTATCAGTCCTAGCTGTGAAACTTACCATTGACCTCCTTTCCAGTGACATGAAAAGGTCCAAACTCTGGATTCTGAAGGATTTCAGCAAGTGTTGTCATGTGTCCCTTGATTTGTTCATCTTTAATGTAATAAGTGAATAATATATACTAGTTATGCAAAACTTTCAAGTCATATACAATGGAATTTCTCACAAGTCACTTGAATTTTCTTGGTTTACACACAAGCATTTAGGTGAGTGAGTTTACCGAGAAAATACTAGTGACAAGTGGGATATTGTATGGTTTGCCACTAGAGAGCATTGCAACTATTTTACACCATGCCATAGAAAGCACAGGGGCCAACCCTAAATCAATGCACATGATGGAAAGGTTGGATGTAATACTGTCAAATATACAATGGCTTTCCTGTATAATTCTGATTGGCTGTAATTTTCTATGGCATGGTATAAAAGGTCATATTAGCCAGAGAAGTAAGGGGGAGAGATGGTGGGGCAGTAAGGAAAATAGTAAGAGTTTAATTATATGCAAACAAAACCCTCAACTTTTTAACCTCGCACAAAATACCCCATATCATTAAAAGCTGGATCATGGGATAATGCAATTCAAGAGATTTCATTGGCTTAACCCATCATGGTATATGAGCCATTAATATACCATGTTCTACAAATATGGTAAGCGTACACATGATTTTTTTTTTTGGCATTATTACTTTTATTTCATTTCTGCAGTTTTCTGTACTTTGGGGGCATTTTTATTAAAACAATTATTTCACTCACTCTTGTTGGTTCTGAGATGGTTATAGAACCAACGCGGCGCTATGTGCCTTGTTGGCTATCTATCATATTATATCCAATGCACGCCCATGGAATAATTGTTAATTAAGGTCCTAAATCATAACATCATAACTTTAATTACTTTTTTCTAACTACTGGTAAGTGGTTTTAACATTAAGCAGTTCCCATGGGAAACAGTATAGCTTTCCCAAGAATCACCATGTTTCCATAGACAAAGTTGAGAGAAACATCAAGGTTCAAGGAAAAGAAAATGACACTAACTGTTTCCCCAAGGGACCAGTAATTAAGTGTTTTGTTGTATAGCTGGAGTTTAGTGTTAAGTCATGTTAAGGAATAAGGGAAGAAGAATTACCCCCATGTCCGAGGAGTCTTAGGGTTAGTGCATGGTAGAGTGGGCAACAACTACTTTATTGTCACCCAACATCAGTCAGACACACTCGGCTATCACCAGGTGTACCGATTTTTTATTCTTTACCACATTTTGACATCATCTGTGATCTATTACTGAACAGATGCAAGGTAACATGGAATCTAAGCTATTTGTTAAACATATTGTGTAGTTTCAGAAGCTATCCATAATGCATGTTTCACGCATGAAATGTATGACAATTGAAAAAAACTAAGGCATAAAATGTATTTACTATCATTTACAAACTACAGAGACAAAGCGTATGACTTAATTGATGTATTCCTTTGGTGAAAGAAAAATAAAGCGACATTTGGGAAATAGCTGTTTTGAAAAAACTGTTGTTTGACGACTTTACTGCGCGTGTAAAGTAATTAGATATGATGTTTTGACCATGCATAAATTAAAATTTCGACTCAGTTATTTGAAAGAGCTTTATGTATGTTCCGAGATTCTCGTAAGAAAACTTCCTTTAATGAAGAAAAAGTCCGCTGCTATGCCATTTGGGAGTGAAGTGCTTCTAAGTCAGTTGTTTGTTAGTTTAAACATCGGTTCAAACATTTTAACATGACACAAAGGAACACACCGCGTCTGCAGTCTACCGTGAAAAAGTATGCCTTTGTCTACAATGTAACTATAAACAGCTGCG